GCCAATCCAGGATATGATTTGTCACAATAAAAGAGATAGGGTGGTCTGATTGTGCAACATGAACTCTAAATATGTGTACCTCTTAGTTCTAACTACAATCAAAGAGATAGTGCGGCCTCCTTCAGAATAAAATCTGGATATTGATTTGAGTGGATGTCAACCAAGTAAAATGTTACTATCTGGGAGTAGATCAATTGTAGCAGGTATTGAAATGTATTCTGCCTCGTGGTGACCAACCTGACTATCTGTTAAATACTTATGAGTAGATGAATAATCAAGTGCACACACATTTGCTCTTCAGATGTTCCTGAATAGAACATGGAACAGGAATAACTCGGTTGTCCATATATTTGTATTCTTTATGGACTGCTGAAACTAAATCTTGAAATACAGAAGCTCGAGTTGTATCTATGCAAGCCTGTCGGAATTTCTTGTTGCATCCAGCATTGGTGATTAATGTTGATAGGTTTCTGATGGTTAATGTTGGCTCGTTGCAGTTCCAAGGCGATCACAAGGAAATCTTGTGTTGGGGTACTAAGTACTTACAGGCCAAATGTATATGTTGGAATGCATGCTGGGTGCTTCACATTGGTGATATCTTGCTCTTTATAACAGGCTATTTCCAATGATTTTTGTCTTAGTCGTCTAGGACATGCTGGAACTATCTATGCCACTTCACAGTGCTAGCATCAGTAGTTTTGATGTTGTGAACTTACTCATCTCACAAACATTAGGCATAGAAATGTATTTTTTTCTCTCTTATTAGTTTAGTGCATATGTCCAATGTAAACCAACTGACAATGGCTTTGCCACTCTTAAGTAGAAATTCACCTCAGCTAGGTGAAAGGGCCATAGGCGTCTAGTTATGCTGGATTTGCTTTTAAAGCATCGATATAGGTAATCTAAGCGACTTGTTGCTGAAGCTAACTTCACAATGTGGGGTGGTCAACAAAGCCTTATATTAGTGATCTAAACGCCTTATATTAATTTACGGAGGGAGTACTCCCTCCATCTCACAATATAAGTTGTTTTTGCAAGCTATGTTAGCTTGCAAAAACGTCTTATATTATGGGACAGGGGGAGTAGTTATCAATGGAATAGAGCAGTACAGTTTGAGATTCTTTGGCACAAATTGTTGACACCAAGGACACCGAACTCTCAGTTCAATACCTTCAGCATCTCATATTTTCCCCCAGCATGCGTGTCTTCTCAATTGGAATGATGTAATTAAATAGAGCAGTACAGTTTGAGATTCTTTGGCACAAATTGTTGACATCAAGGACACCGAACTCTCAGTTCAATACCTTCAGCATCTCATATTTTCCCCCAGTATGCGTGTCTTCTCAATTGGAATGATGTAATTAAATATATGGAGGTGTGATGTACTATTTCTGCTGCTGGTGCAGCATGCTATTCTGTACTAAATGGAAATAGTATTTGTATGCAGTAACGATTTTGTACTGCCAAGCCTGTGAAAAATCATGCTAATGCAACTTATATTTACAGAACCCCATTGTCTATAATTGCTGGATTAATGTGGATTGGCATGAAAAATGGACAATCTTTTATATTATATGGTGATGTGCAACCTTTTTGAATCTTTTTTTGAAGCCATTTTTGCTATGCAGGTGCAATTGCATACACAAACTGAAACACAGGCAGAAGGACTGGTGTGCACTGAGACTGAGACTGAGACTGATAACCATGACTGGTCACTGGTGTGCACGCACCCAGCTCATGGCGAAAGATACTAGAAAAAAGGTGAGGTTTTATCTCGTTAGGTGGGTTTCCATTGGCCGTGGAAAGCATACCTGGCCGATCTGATGGGGCTGCCTGCTGCTTCAAAACTCAGGCAGATTACTGCATAATTGTCTTGTTGTAGCCTGGCCGATCTGTGAATATTTTATTGTAGGTGAAGAAGGAGCGGCCGCCCACTCGACGGTGTGGTGCAGGGCGGCGAGGGAGCCCGGCAGGGAGGCGTTGATGCGGTGCAGGGCGGCGACTATACGATGCAGGGATCGAGGTCGCCATGCAGGGAGGCGACGGTGCTGCTGAGCTTCGTCTGGGGCGGTGCGAGGTTCAATTTCCTTTTTCTGCGAGTTGGTTAGATTTGATTAGCGTGAATTGAGGGGCTGCGGAGGCGGGGCGGGGTGTTATAAGGACTCCTCATTTAATGGGAAAAAAAATCTTTCTCAAGTTCTCCGAAAACAAAATCTATCTCTAGTTCTCCCTTTGGTACCAAATTTCAGGAGATACCCGCTGCTTCTAATCGAATCTGGAGAAGACAATCGCATATCCTTGTTCCCATGGCGTCGACAGACCCACCTGCCGAGAGGAGGAGGCCTGCTCCTCCGCTGCCGTCCCCTATTGTCCACCTCTCCTTCAGCAGCGACGCGTCCTGCTTCGTCGTCGCCGGCACCTCCAGCGTGCATTGGCTTTCATGCGACACCTTCAGCCTGCGTGGCCTCTACCAAGAAAAAGATGCCAGAAAGACCATCGCCGCAGCGGCCGGCGATATGCTTAGCCTCAAGGAATCAGCATGCGCCACCGTGAGCCGCGTCAACAGCACCAAGTTCTTCATCCGGCGTTGGAAGCCGGGATACATGAACTACCACTGGCGGTACTTCGAGGGGGAGAAGACATACACCGGAGGCGAAGATGACGTGCGGGCAGTGCGTGTCCACGGCGCGAAGACCGTCGTCGTGCTCGTTGACCGGCTGGAGGTGCTCGGCTGCAGGACCAAGGACACCGAGGACAAAGAGCTTTGGTTGCTGCACTCGGTGGTGACCGGGGGCAATCCCCTTGGCCTCTGCGCCGTGTCGTCAGGCGCGTCCTTCGCGTTCGTGTGCCCCGGCGCCAGGGATTGTGAGGTGCACGTCGAGCGGTGGTTGGACGAGGGGGAGGTCGCGGCGCCCGTGGTGGCCATACGTGCACACTCTTCCCGCCTTGCGTCCATTGCCATGTCTTGCGACGGCCGGCTCGTGGCCACAGCTAGCGTCAGGGGCACCCTCGTGCGCATCTTCAGCGCCACCGACGGTGCGTTGCTCCAAGAGGTAAGTGGCGGCGCGTAGATCTAAGATCGCCGGTAGTCAACGATGCCTATCAAATTATGTCTTTTTTTTTACGATATCAGATTATGTTTTGTCAAATTTTGTTGAAAGGAAAATTGAAATAAGAACAAATAAATAAGAAGAAGAAATCGTGCATACACAAAGCTGTCCTATCTTTCCAAGGATAGAAGAAAATAGAATGATTATAAGGAGGGTATAACACATGGCACAAACGCAAGATGACATGTAGGTCAACTGGTCAAGTAATGGAAATGAAAAGCAATTGACTAAATCTACTGATTATAGCTCAAATAGCTCTTCCAGTACCTTGTGCAACTCTACAAGGTTATGCCTTGAAACGATTATTTTTTTGTCCTCCGCTGGTTATTGAAAACTCTCAGTTGCTCATCATCCTGAACATAAAAGGAGATATCACACAGCTGTAAAGATAACAGCATCGTCCAAACTAGGAGGGCTTGTAGTTAGTACGTTTTCAGATCAGCAGGAGAGCGCAATCAACACTAGGAATAACATAATACTACTTTTGGAGACTAAAATGGTGTAAACTTACCTTTGGAAAAGGAGTATATAATTTATTTCCGAAGAGTTTCGCTATGCCATTGGACTTTGAAGGCTTCCGCCCTTGTAGTCCCCCTACCAGCCTCTTCAAGGATGATGCCTGAAAAAATACAAATTTCAGCCAAGTACAAATTTTTAGCCATTGCTATGGCAATCCCACCAAAAACGAAATCAACTCTCCAAGACATTATTGCAAAGAGAAGTAGCTCACAGGAACAATGTAAATTCGACTGCAGAACATCATGCAACAAGGGTGAGAATGACCCAATTATGTTTGTTACCTACTTCGCTAAGGTAGAGCATTTGTTAGGCTAACAATTAAAAGCATTGCCTATTTTGGAGGGTGCATTTAAATTGTGGTGGCTTCATAAAAGCACTTACATTATGCTAGTTTTTGACATATAAACTTACGGCAAGATTCTTCTGATAGTTGTGACAGCAATATTTTACTAGATTTGATAATTATTCTCTGCAACCAACTAGATTTGATAACAATTTTCTGCAACCAACTGTAGGTTTGTTAATCGTTCTCTGCAACTATCTACAGTTTAGTGCAGTACAGTAACAGCAACCTGGCACCCGGCAGTCTTTGCCAGACCTGTCTGGAGTTGGGCACCTGGTAAGGCCGGCCAACCTGGATCAGCTAAGACAAACATTGTTTCGACCAGGTCAGGCCAGGCCTTGCTTGCTAGCAGGCTTATAATGTTGCACTTACTCTCACCTTGATCTGGCACATAGACTAAGCATATATGGGATTGCTTTTGCATTTTCATCAAAAAAATAAAAATGATGTGAGGTCACGCAAGTAGCATACCAAGTGGTCAACTGCTAACTTATCCAGCTATATCAAACCTATCCCTTACTCTATGCTAATTATGTGGGATAAGCACAATGAACAGAGACCCTGGGAATATTTAGCAGGTTAGGTTAAGCAATGTATACATGTTATCAATGCTAAAAGTTTCTTTCACTCCCAGAGTAACCCATCATTGGTAATACAAAACAAATGAGGGAACGGCCAAATGAGGATACAAAAGAGCAAGGGAAAACAGCATGATACTTTTGCAGGTCTCTTCCGGTTGAAGACCTCATAGATGCAATAAACTAGGCACACACTGTGCCATAACTAATACGTAGATGGCTAGATGAGCACAAGAGACAATTAAAAAGCTACTCCCTCCGTTCGGAATTACTTGTCATAAAAATGGATGTATCTACAACTAAAATACATCTAGATACATTTATTTCTTGGACGAGTAATTCCGAACGGAGGGAGTAGATGGGAGAATGAGAATGTTTTCTCAATCAGTTGTAACAGAGAAAAACCACGAAACAAACACATATTCTTGAATAGATTAGCAAGAAATTACCAGTGGAGACAGGCGAGAGAGATTGTGAAACACCAGCTCGGGTTGACTTTAATCCGTAGAATTCATTGTTAGTTGTTCCAAGCAGATTTGTCCATGTTTAAAAGAAGAAGACTTCCTGTTGTGAATTTAAGTTCTAGCATTTGTGCACATTGAGTTCTTCACGCATATGTTTCGAGAAAATGCAAAAACAAGATGTGTTCAGTACACACATTGCTTCTTGTTTAGGGTACGGGCTAAATGGGTAAATAACTGTTATTTTCATGTCCGTGTCCCTGTTAGCTGAGGAGAGGCAGAGACCGAGCAGACATCCACTGCATCGCCTTCTCTCTGGATTCAAAATGGTTGGCGGTCAGCAGCGACAAGGCAACCGTGCACGTGTTCAGCGTCAATATCGATTTGCCAAGCCTGACACCGGAGGACAGCAACAGTCCCGGCGGTCTCCAAGCAGCCCCGGCGCCGTCGTCTCCAGCAGTAGCTACAGCCAACAAGAGGTCGTTGTTGTCGTTCGCTGGAGGTAATATACTCATAGACTCATAACTCACACGTGTGAGTTCAGGTCTCCAAGCACAAAGTTCATCTTGATTTGACATCCAAATCCTGCAGGATTCTTGCCGGGCTATTTCAGTTCAGAATGGTCGTCGACTCAGATCCGCGTCCCTGAAGGCACCAAGTACTTGGTCGCGTTCGGCAGTCAGCCAAACACCCTTCTCATCCTCGGCATTAATGGACGGTTGGTCAAATATATACGACTGTACTTGAATTTGCCGTTGCTCATTTGAGTTTATTTGCTCTGAACTGAAGTGCACTGTTCCAGTCGAGCTTATTTGTGACACTTTTCGCCTGACATTTTGCGGCTGTGGTTTGTGCAGCTTCTACCGGTGCCGATTCGACCCGGAAAAAGGAGGCGTAGTGGACGTGCGGCACAAAGGGACGCCTTGTGGGAGTGTGGGACAGGACGTGGAGTGCATCAACTTCATGAATCCGAGCAAGAAAACATCTAATTCGAAGCCATAATATGGCAGCTAGCCTTGTTATCTTTGCTTTCTCATTCATCTTCGTCTTTCTGAGGGATGCAGATTTGGAACCTCCAGGGTATCCTTCGACCCTACTTATAGTTCAACTAAATGAACTAACTTGAATTCTGAAAAGTTAGTTCATTTGATTGAACCAAAAAGGATCGGAGGGTACCCTTTAGGTTCCACATTTGCATCCCCAGTCTGTCTGAACAGTAATAAATGCACTACTGTGTGCAGCCCTGCGCCATTTTGGAACGCTGCATGATTTTGTTTTTGTTCAATGCATTTTGTTACTGTTGTTTGGTGCGTACGCACGTCTGTTTGCTAGCAGTCGGTACTTGCACTCATGATCATGGTCTGATGGGCATGGTGACAACCTCCCCCACCCCGACTAATCTTGATCAGATCGACCACATCTCGTAAGTATTCTGGGGTGCACTGTTAAACAAGGATGTGTTCTGGGACGAGAACCTTGTAGAGGACACTCAGGTTATGGCGGCGTATCACTGCCTTCTCTTTGCATCAAAAGAAAATGGCAGGTTGAGGGACAGAGAAGATCAGAAGATTGAATACTTCGCAAAAGAAAGGACTACTGGCAATGATGCCTATGGTGAGAAACACATCCCCACTGTGCTTACTTCTGCTAATGATAAAATTGGTACTATTGCACATGATGTGGGTGTGGACTTAGGACGACCAATATGGTTGATTATAATATATCAACCTTATTAAAAGAGTTGAGCAGGTCAGGGTTGACATGTGGGTTAAAAATAAATTTAATAAAAACTCAACCCCTATTAAGCAGGTGAGATCTGTGATTGAAACTAGGGAACATACTATTACAGATTTGATTGGGGATGCGGAGGATAGTGATAATAATGATATAGAAGATGTGCGGCCTTTCGGTGCCTAGACTCATTTGCACCCGGTTAGAAAAAAAATCGTAGAAAAATAAAAAAATATTCAAAAATTTCCAAAAAAAATTGTGCGGTAGAAAATTTGATGCAAAAGGCCTGCTTCAAATTTTAAATCATTTGAACATCTGAGCAGCTCTCAGCAAAAAAGATAAATCAGGCCAAAACAGTACATAAACAGTAAACTTTTTTACAGACCCCCGATTATATGTCCAAATGATTTGGAAATTGGAGTAGACCTCACGCATCAAATTGTCTACTGCACAAAAAAATTGGAACTTTTTGAATATTTCTAGTATTTATTTTGATTTTTTTCGTCAGCGCAGGTGCAGATGAGCTCGGGTGCAGAGATGGATTTTCGTCATCTTAAGCACTTATTTTCTTGTAAGAAAGGAAAAACAAAAGCAACTTAACAAATGCCTTGCTAGGATAAATCGTAAACAAGGAGATTCTCAGTTTTGGTCCAAACTGATTAAACATCAAGAACATTTGCAGGTTTGTGGTGGAAATGGGCAAAATGTGAGATTTTGGGAGCACTGTTGGGTTAGGAATAAACCTCTTAAGGAAATTTCCTCGGGTTATATAATATGTGTTTGAGAAAAAACGGATTGGTCAGTGATCTGTTGGGTAGAGGGCTTGATTGTGTTCAATTTAGAAGAACACTTTACGGTGATTCTCTGGAGCTCTGGAACCACATCAAATCTGTTTGTGACGGCGTGGTGTTAACAGATCAAAAAGATGTCACTAGGTGGACTTTGACAAAAAATGGAGTATATACTGTCATATCGTATTATAGATATCTGATTTAAAATGGGATAAAATATCAACATAAATTAATGAGGAAAATTAAAATGCCTCCCATAGTGAATGCTTTTCTCTGATTGGTGCTCTGAAATAGCATCCTTACCAAAGATAATCTGCTCAGGAGGGGATGTGGAGATAAAAGTTGCCCTTTCCGTGGGAGAGATGAGAGTATTGACCATCTTTTTTTGTTGCTCGGTTGCTAAAATGCTTTGAAAAATAATGGAATATGCTTTTGACTTGCATAATATACCTGATAATGTTCAGGACTTATTAATGTGTGGCTTAAAAGCTTTAATAAAAATTATAGAGATATGGCAGTTACTAGCATGTCTGCAAAATTTTGGACAATTTGGAAACTGATAAATGGTATTTTTTTTTGAAACAAGGCAAAAGATTTGCCATTTCATTGATTAAGAAAGGAGTTATCGAACAAGGGCCGCAAGGCGGCAAAATAAAATGTCTACTCTCGCTGCATTACAACACTCATGTGCTTCGCACCCGCCACTGCCCAAAGAGACACCTCCTCTTTGATCTTACAGATTAGGACCATGGAAGGGACGGCCGTATTTTGAAAGACCCTAGCGTTACGCTCTGTCCATATCTCCCATGAGATAAGCATCATCAAGGAGGCTAGAGCCTTAGGGGAGCCAAGGCGAATCTGAAGGTTGCCGTTCCACCAGTCTTACACCGAAGTCCTCGTCTGCCATATCGTCGTAGAAATGTGATGCATGCCAAGCCACGCAAGAATATGGTTCCAAATGCGGATGGTGAAGCGGCATTGAAAGAGGAAATGGGCCGCCGACTCCTGGCATTGCTTACAAAGTGGGCACAGGCCACAGTTTGGCCAGCCGCGACGTGTGAGATGATCCGATGTCCAAATCCTATTTTGAAGGACTAGCCAAGCAAAGAACTTGCACCGAGGGGTGGGGCCAACCCCCCATACAGAGTGAAAGAGATCGGACGATGTGAGTCCCTCAAACTATGCCTTGTAAGTAGAGGAAGTAGAGTACACCCCATCCTTGGTGAACTTCCAGGTGATGGAATCTTCTATGTCATCATTCAGAGAGGTCATGGATATCTTCTCCCAGAGGTCGGCAAACTGCTGGACGTGTGCAAACGATAGGCCATTGGAGGTGTCAATGAGAGAGATCCAGCTGTTGTTGGTGAGGGCTTGCTGGACGGAGGAATTCTTCTCGCGGGAGATGGCAAAAATGTTCGGTGCTAAGTCACAGGGGCAGAGACCATTCAGCCAAGGGGAGTGCCAGAATCTGGCCGTGCGCCCGTTCCCCACTGTAACCATTGTAGCAGCCGCAAAAAATTTGCGGTCGTCCTCGTTGCAAGGAGACCCCATGCCAACCCAAGGCTTGCTTTTTTCCACCCACTCGAACCAAAGCCATCGTAGTCGGAGGGCCTTGGCGAATTTGTTCAAATTAAGCACACCCAAGCCACCGAACTGTTTAGGCTTGCAGACGAGGTCCCAATTGATCTTGCATGACCCTCCCAAGACTTTGTCAGTACCCTCCCAAAGGTAAGCACGCCGAAGTCGGTCAATTGCGTTAAGGATCTTGTCGGTGTCAAAATCGGCGGATCTCGGGTAGGGGGTCCCGAACTGTGCGTCTAGGCGGATGGTAACAGGAGACAAGGGACACGATGTTTTTACCCAGGTTCGGGCCCTCTCGATGGAGGTAAAACCCTACTCCTGCTTGATTGATATTGATGATGTGGGTAGTACAAGAGTGGATCTACCACGAGATCAAGGAGGCTAAACCCTAGAAGCTAGCCTATGGTATGATTGTTGTAATGGTTGTTCGTCCTATGGACTAAAACCCTCCGGTTTATATAGACACCGGAGAGGGCTAGGGTTACACAGAGTCGGTTACAATGGTAGGAGATCTACATATCCGTATTGCCAAGCTTTCCTTCCACGCCAAGGAAAGTCCCATCCGGACACGGGACGAGGTCTTCAATCTTGTATCTTCATAGTCTTGGAGTCCGGCCGATGATGATAGTTCGGCTATCCGGACACCCCCTAGTCCAGGACTCCCTCAGTAGCCACTGAACCAGGCTTCAATGACGACGAGTCCGGCGTGCATGTTGTCTTCGGCATTGCAAGGCGGGTTCCTCCTCCGAATAATTCATAGAAGATTGTGAACACCAGGATAGTGTCCGGCTCTGTAAAATAAATTCCACATACCACCGTAGAGAGAATAATATTTACACAAGTTCAATCTGCTGACGTATTTGGTGGTGTGACGTCACACCACTACCAAGCCTTTACTTGAATCATTTTTATTATACCACCTCAGCGCATTTAGCGAAGCGGTTTCCTTGGCACGTCTTGTCGAAGCAGAGATCGTGTTCCTCTTATTCCGGGATTCCCATCAATACGGATGTGGGTAACCCAACCGCACCATTGATTGTGGCGCTCGGGAGATAAGCGAGTTTTACCAGGCCGGTGGGGATGCATAGTCTTCGTCCGCCCATATATAAGGGGATAAGGATCCACCTTTTTACCTACGCCTTCTTCCTCCTTTGCTTATCCATCTCCGCGCACTCGAGCTCCAGCGCCCAAGTCCGCACATCTCACCTCAACCTTCTCCAGCCATGTCCGGAGCGGGAGGCAAGTGGATGGCCTCCTCCGTTACGGAGGGGCACATCGAGAAGCTGCGCGGCGCCGGATACCTGTCCAGCGACATCGCGCACCGGCTGCCCGATGAGGGGCAACTCATCCCCACCCCCAGGCCCCATGAGAGGGTCGTATTTCTTCCCCACTTCCTCCGTGGACTGGGCTTCCCACTTCACCCCTTTGTCCAGGGGCTCATGTACTACTACGGCCTGGACTTCCATGATCTGGCGCCAAACTTCATCCTCAACATCTCGACGTTTATCGTCGTGTGCGAGGCCTTCCTCTGCATCCAGCCCCACTTCGGCTTGTGGCTAAAGACCTTCAATGTCAAGCCGAAGGTGGTGAAGGGCGTCCAAGCGGAGTGCGGAGGCGCCATGGTGTGCAAAATGCCCAACGTCACTTGGCTTGAGGGTGCCTTCGTGGAATCCATCAAAGGGTGGCAATCGGGGTGGTTCTACATCACCGAGCCGCGCGACCCTAAATGGGTGGCGGCCCCCGAGTTCAGATCTGGTATCCCCATGCAGCTCACCTCCTGGAAAGAGAAGGGCTTGCTATGGGGTAGTTCGGAGGAGCTGACCGGACTCCAGTCCTGTCTCCAGACCCTGGTGAACAAGAAGCTTAAACTTGTCAACGTGATCCAGGTCATGCTCGTCC